AGATTCGGTCGTGTTTGTATCGTTAATACATAATGAGATACAGGGTTTTTGTTGGTGCTGGGGATTTCGGGCAGCCATTTTGCTCCCACTGCTCATACGTATTTCGGTCCATCGTGCAAGGAATTGGTATTCGATTTTCCAGATGAATACAGCCATTATTTTGGTTTGTTCAGTAAAAGTTTCAAGCTTACTGCGGTACGTCCGCCCAGGACCTCATAGTAGCTGATAGGCTATTCCAAAAGAAGACATTTCTGATGAAGAGAAGTTGAAGCGAACAGCCATTCCGATCCTTCGGTCAATTCATGCGTAATGTTATTTCACATGCCTCGATTAAAATTGTCAAAGTTCAAAGGTGACGAGTCATAGTAACTCTTCTGATGTGTCAAATTGTGTAGGAAGATGTTCGCGGTAAAGCACCTGGTCGTGCTCGCGAAATATCTAGATCTACGGTCTACTAGACAGACTTGCAGTGGAAACTCTCGAAGGACTCTGTAATTTCAGTTGTGCGGAGGAATGCAACTCTCAATTCTGTTCAGTCCATTTCGGCGCTACAACCGCCCCTGACCGAGGTGCAGCATCTTTTGGGTAGTCGCTCGCTTACCACCGTGAGTGATTGCAAATAGTTAGATAAGGTTGTGGTTCGTAAGTTTATTTAACGTCTTCTCTAACTACCCATCGCTACTGTATTGCCTGTTCGTTTGGACAAACTGGTCGCCCATAAGAAAAGAAAACCAGTTGTTAATGTAAGCTGTAATTTGGGTTTTGGGAAACTGCGAGCAATATTTTTGAGGAACTAGATATAACTAGCAACATCAGGTAGGAAAAATGAAAACTTGTTTAGTATTTTGACTCCCTGTGACTAGAAAATCTGGACTGTTTGTCAGCGAGGATTGTGAATGGCAATGGATATGTTTCACAAACTTCCCCAACATGATCTTACTTTCCGAAAATGTCGCCACGAGAATTCAAAGAACGAAAAGTTGAATAGTCACGCCTCGCCTTGGATACCGCAGTGGAACTATTGAGCAATGCCCTGAGACCGCATATTTCATTAGTCTCAACACACAATTACATCGGCCACCAGAATGCTAAGTTGTTAACAAAAAAGTGCATCGTAAAGTGTCACTAGCGTACCTCCCTCCAGTTACAGTGCGAAAGTTTGCTGCGGGAGTGCATACCAGCAGACTGTACTCTTCCTTCGGCTTTTCTCTGTCACCCGTAGTGTAAACGCTAATCGCTATTTCCCACCGAAACTGTAAGTGTAGTTGTCGAGACGTAGGCTGCACTTGCTTTCTGCTACTATGGTGGCAAGATTGTTCGCCTACCGTTACCTAAACCTATGCAGATTCGGCTATTCCTCTTTGCAAACTACGCCACGATATCGCCTGACCCTCTGTCCAGTGACTGACATCAGCTCCAGGGCTGGTGTTCTACCGACCTTACGATTAATCGACAACATCTGATATGCCGAGTTAGTGTCACGTGCGCACAGTTACGACGCCCTTGTCTTTGACCCTTTCATGTTGGCTAGGCTGATGTGGCTGGATAGCGTGCACCAATGAACCCCAAATCAGGTCTTCATTGAGTGCGCGAACTGCGCCACTGGCCTGAGGTCGATTCACGGGTCCACTCTTGGCGCACTATGGTCAAGAAACGATGTTTACTGAGGTCCCAGCTGCGTCGTAGGCGTCGTGTAAGGTGAGACAGATAAACGATCTTCCTAGCAGACTATGGAGTACGCTGTGCCCGCCTCACTCTCTGACAATTCAGTGCCACTGCTAGTTGGCTTGTCTGTCTTCCCTAAGAGCAGTGGAATTTGTATTTCGAGTGCATGTACCTAGCTAAATTACTACCAGCGTTACACTGGATAACGTGGCCTGCGAATTCTTCCTAGAGCCTTCCCGCTTGCACTTAGCGGCTTCATGACAACCCGCTGGTCCGCCCAGCATATGTCCTGGTTCTGCACGCGCGCACTTAACGCAGGTACGTCCATTTGAGCCTTCGCGCCAAAAGTTGGATGGCTGGGACAATTATCCTAAATGACTGGGGTTCACCATAAGCGCGCAACAGTGCGGTAAGAAAGGTACTATCTAGCCCTGGATTGCGCTAAATGGCACTTACAAATAGGACATATTGTCTAATGCTACAATAGCCAGACAGCAGCTGCCTGTGTGTCCATCAAGGAGCGGGTCATGCATGTGCCACCTGTCTTATTCGATAATGGTTGTCCATTGCCCCTCTGTTAAGAAAGCAGTTCTCTAGGTTGTGATGGGCCCGGTGGCTTTATAAGATAGTTTACATGATCATCGATATTGGTAACCGCATAGGTTTTAATCTTTGAAGTAGAATACGGTATTATATCACCTTTTAATGGTGTCGGAACGACGCGGCTGCAACATTGTGAGCTATCATTCTCGAGTTGGATTGAAGCGTCTTACACTGTTTGTACAGTGTTATTGAGTGTGGTGTTAGCAACTATATTTTCCATGACTTTAACCCTTTACTTATCATTATCACAAGGCTTTTGTTAACGGCATCGTTCGGTGTCCGGGGAACATTCTCATCAGAACACCTGGTGGATAGTTTTAACGTGATCCGCGTTTAGATGCTTCTGTGGACGTGGAAATACAGGGCTTTCATTGCAATGAGTTACTGTTCAAACGACCAGACGTTTTACCATATCTGTTATTGTTTATTCGTATAGTGTTTAAAGTCTATGTGATAAATGTATTCACAGTCCGCTCGAAGCTCGATCTGTTTATCCTAGGTACTTCCTACAGTCGGTTTTATGACCTATGGAGTGAGTCAGAGGCTGGAACTCTTGCTTCGAGTAAAACCTGTTTACCTTCTCATAGGTGTGACGTATACAACGGTAGCCTCCTTCAGCGCAACACACACTGCTGACATAGTCGTAGTACTAAAAAGGAAACTAGTGGGCCTGCACTCCACCACTGGTTTGATGACGCTGTGAAGTTGACGAATGGGCTTGCTGCTCCGCGCCATCTATGGCTCGCAACCCAGGAACAGTGACCCCATGATGCCGCCTTCATGGGACTACTAGGCGATGTGACCGGAAGATAAAACGGATTGGCAGCGTAGTACATGCACCAGAACAAGCTTGGAAGGATACCAGCTAAGTGTTTGCGGGGTCAAGGACACGTATTTGTCGTGGTTGGAGGAGATGATAAGATAACCGACCAACACCGCCCTCTACAGACAGTAGTAAGGTTAGAATAAGGGTGATGTGTGCTTGCGTTCGAACTGAACAACACTCGCTACTGTGAAGCCGTGCTGTCACTTCGGCCGTAACGATAGGGGAAATCTTGCAAACGCCTGCTTGGCACTGTCCGATTGCAAGCAATGAAGGACAGAACGGAATGGAAAATTCGAGTGAAACTACTGAATATTCCGATCCGACACAGGGTCCACCTGCTTTACTGCAGGTTCCATGGTGCCAAGTGGCGACCCAGATTGGTGTGGCTGAATTTCAAGTTCAAGTGGACCGTATCGATAGGGTAAACTCGTAAACGTTGTTTCTCCAGTAAGCCGGTTAAGAAAAGGTTGACAGTGATTTGAAATCTAGCCAAACATAGGACAAAACCGTATCACAATCTGAACAACCAATTTCTGCCCACATATCCTGCACTAGCATTCCAGGCTGAGCCACTTATGCGAAGAAAGGGAATACCGTAGACTCAAAAGACAAGGAGGGGAACGTGACTAAAAAATATAACTCCAGTACCTGTAAAGAACTGATAAAAGAAAATTGAGTACTGCTACTAAGAATCGTTTAAGAGAAAAAAAGTTTTGGTTGCCACCCACGGGTATAGAGTTGACGCTCGAAACCACGACAGTAGATACCTTAGTCACGTGCTCTGGAAGCGAGTTCTAACCAGTAAGCAACAAATTGAGGTCTAGATACCTAGACCAAACGGTCGTGTCTTTGAGCTCATAATTTCTCTGAAGAGACCAACGGGAACTCACTAAGTACACTTATGATCCATCGCCCTCAGTTACCTGCCGAAAAGTTTCCAGTTGAAACATCAATTCCTATTTCCTTGTCATCAGTGGAGGTCACAAATCGCCATAGTAATGCGAGACCGTACGTAGCAGCAGCATAGATTTCTGGATTTGCCTGGCACTGGGATTTAAAACAACCACGAAAACCCCGTCTATAGATAAACAGTGTTGGACATTCTATACTTTACACATGACGATTTCACTTATCCCAGATACAGCTTTAAGCTGAAAGGAGTTAGTCTGATAGACAAGCAGGTAAATGCCAAGTTTGATCCAATACTGGTACATATACCTTCAGCATGCATTGTTTAGTTAGTAATGTGGGAAAGTCTGTGTACCAAAGTCTCATGACGGTGACTGGATCGTGGCGTATAGGATGAGAAACCATTCGCTGGATGTAACGTTATCACGGCTGATGCAGGAACAATGATTAGCGCTTTTCTGGAAAAAATTTTTGCGATGGCGGCACCAGAAAAGTAGGCAACTAATAAACACGTAGGTCAAACGCAGTTATACCCACCACCTCTTTCGTGAGTAAGCACCATCCGTTACACGGTATTCATTCAAGTGTAATCGGAATGAAATCAAAACTACAACACCCCTCGTCAACCGCAGTAAAGGCGTCATTACAAAGAACATACGAGACCATCACAAGTGATGTACGCGTCTACTCAAGTTAGCTAAATTAACTACTTTGCGCTCTGTCAGCGAATTTCGACAAAAACATATGCTAGCGAATTTACCCCCGTGGTTGGACTTATTAGCAACATACGCTACTGTGAGTCCATCTAAAACACTTAATGTGTGGTGTGGGGAAAAGCAGGGTATTACAAGTGAACGTAAGGGGATTAGGTCGATGTGTTCTAATTGAAGCTAGGGTCCAAATGGCACGATTGCGTACCCAGTGGTTAAGATGCATACGGGTGTCATATGTTTTAAAGACTAAGTACGTAACCGATAAGATTCGCCATCGAACTCACTATTTCGGCCGGAATCGTAGTGTACTCCGTATGTGCATAACCTTTTGAAAGGGGGATCTTTATGGAATACGCCTGTAAGAAAGAACCGCACGGAACATCAGAAGGTGCTATGGCATAACATCTAAACATAAAGCTGCTTAGGCAAGCTGATATGCAATCTTGATCAAATAATGTGATTGATGATACACAACAGTGTAACCATATGACTACAGGTGACTTCAAGCTTCATGTATTCGGTGATCCGTTGGAACATAGCTCATGCTAAGGAAACAGTTGTCTGTCTAGTTCCGCAGGATGGTCACAGTGAAAAAGGTTCAGCAAGCACAGCATCTGTTAATGAACTCATAACGGCGGCCAGTTGAGCACCAGTATAGATGATGCTTTTGCTTAGCTTTTACTGGTGAGTCCACTCATATTTTCTCTGCCTTAACTCCTTTTCCGGTGGACAGTGGATAACTTGAGTACTGTGACTGAATTAGTACATGGCTACATCACTTTTGGATTGGCACTAATGTTGGGACGCAAGTGACTTAGTTTAGAAGGGTATTCAGCGGCTGAGACGCTGAAAATGAGAAACTTGCAGTGACATTACAACCGGTTACACATCCTGTTACCATCTAGCCATGTGGCCCTCAAAATGATGTTGCAGTAACGTTCCATTCTCCCTGGGTTCATGTAGGCTCACGGACGCTGTGGACACGGATACTGTCCACAGTGCATGCATCAGGCATTCAGACTGAATTGGTTGAGGAGATGGAACTAGCCGTCAATATTTTTGGTCACGTTTCGCTGCGAAAAACATTAAGTGTGCACTTTTGCCAGGGAGTCCAGGCCTGGATGGCGTATTCCACATGAGGTTTCAAGTACTTATCTGACATTCCGGAGTAGATGGAATGGTAGGATCCCCAAGTGCTCTTCGGAGATAGCTGAAATGTTGGTTCGCTTATCTTTTTGCCTTCATTACATGCATAAGGATTCTAAGCTCATTCCGTGCGAACAAATCTGGGACATCCCCACGAGAATAGTACCGTAAAAGATGTTACTCAACTTCAAGCTCAAGCGGGATCGGAACGATAGGATTATCTCGTGAGTGTTCCTTCTTCAGCGCGTCGTTGAACCAGGAGTTGGCAGACTGTGAAATACTGACGGACCTAAAACAAAGACCGCATCACACCCTGTCTAACCAATTAATGCCCACGTATCCTGCCCTAGCAGTCAGTCCCTGCTGGGCCGGTTACGTGAAGTAAGAAAGAGAAAAAAGTAAACTCAGAAGGCAATAAGCAAAAGTGGAAAGAGCTAAACAAGTAGAATACCAAGATATTTGAGTCATTAAAAAAGAACTTAAAAGTGAAGGTGAGTCAGTTAGGAAAAAGGAAAGGTTTGATGTTGCTACCTAAGAGCATCGAGCTGGCGCGCAAATCCCTTAACCGTAGGTTCCCTAACCACGTGATCTGGAAGCGAATTCCAGCGATCTATAACAGCGCGACAGACGAGTTTCCGTCCTAATCTTATCAGACCGTGGTTTATGCAGTTTCAGTGGGTGACCGCGGAGATTAGGTAACGTAGCGGGACTAAATAGTCCTGGCAAATCCGGGCCGATCTTACCCGTCAAAATACGATAAGTGAGGAGCAGATCCCCTCTTATCCTGTGGTAGTGTTTTGAGTACAGCCCAAAACTGAGCAAGCGTTCAGGATACGTCTGTCCCCGTAGACCCTGCACTAACCGAGTGCCCACTCGTAACATCCTCTCCAAGTCCATTTTGTCTCGGATAAGACATGGTGGACAAGCCTGGATACCATATTCCAGGTGGGGGTTGGATGAATGCCGAGAATAGCTTCACAAACAAATTGTCCGTTAGGATTCCGAAAGAACGATGGATAAACCATATGATATAAAACCCCGACAAGCAGCCTGCTTCCAGTTGTCGCCATAATGAAATGCAGATGGGTGTACGACCCCTAAATCAACCTGCTGAATGAAAACCGGGATTGAACCACCGCCGACACTATATCGGGTGGGAGCATTGGCAGATCCGATTCGGAGAACAGGGCACTTGGCCCTATTTATGGGCATCAACCATAGGGTAGACCATTCCAAGAGTATATCCAAGGCACGCTGAATTGCCTCTGGACCCCTGGGATATTTACAATATTCCAGTGCTTAAGGTCGTCAACAAACATTAATGATGACACTCAGGCTTTAGTGATGACACTGCAGTGTTTATGAGAGCTCTGGTGGAATATGCACAACACTTTAGCTTTGGCCTTATTCGAAAGAACCCCGTCATTGACCAAAAGCTTACAGATTGTCTTGATAGCCAGATACAGCATATTATCAGCGAGGTGTAAGCAATGTGAGATGGCTTCCCATCACTTGACTGATTGTGAAAGTCAGGAATAAACACGGTTGTAGTACTGAGATCGCGGAACACAACAATGACCTTCTAGCAGGTCTGTGATGAGGTGTAATCCGTAGGAACCGAGGAAGCTTGTGCAAACTGAAAAGCGTTACCATGATAGAAGACATTACCTCAGTGTCAAGTCTACGTCTCAGTGTTCTTCTTGACAAAATCGTCTTCAAGGGGTATCACAAGTCTAATGGTTGCCTAAGCACTGTATGCATTTTTACGTTCTAACAGCAGTATACAGTAATTTGATACTGACCGCTTACGTAGAATGTGCTAAACAAATTTAAATCCGCTGAATTGCGCCGCTTCATTTCTCTGTCCCCAGCTTTCTTTGAACCATGTTTGCATTAGGACAACCATTAAGTGCAACCCACTTAAACGCCTTTAGTGTATAATTCAGGTCCGATCAAAAAATCCTTGGGCACGTTTGCCTACCAATGCGTACCTTCAGCATTTGAGTACTGAGTTAACCATTTTTATGCGTTTACGCCTTCTGTTCTTTTGCTCCCACAATTTCTCGTTCATAGCCAAATTGAAGGTATACTTTGTGCTTTACTACCTGCCTAAATTACGAAATTTAATCTGCGAGAGAAAAGGTTGAATTTCTACCAATAGATTCGTTTAAATTCTCAAAGTTTCTAACTATTTTACTTATTTTTTGATGCCCAGAAAAAGCGACGTGTGTTCTCAATGGAAAACTTAAGAAATAACATCGCAGCGTTGTTTTCGAGTTGAAAAGATTAATAGAGTCTAGTAGGTCAAACAAAGTCAAGTGACCTTATCACGCCAAGGCCGTACAGATTCCCTATCAAGTCGCAAGTACCAACCAAGAAGGGCAATGCGCATAGTGGTTTGGTTGCGGAGATCCATATCACCCTTGGCTGGAAGTGGCCTAGTGAGTGAGAAACGCTGATTTGCAAACTTTGAATACGGTAAACTACAAGCTGGACCTAGTAAACCGCTTCTTAGTGCCAGGATAAAGGTATGACCATTTGGATTTCATTATTGCAAACATCCTGTGAGTGCGACTACTGCAACTGACATACCTTTCGAGATACCAAGTGGGATAGAGTTATTCACTAATGTACGTAAGCATTGACTGTCGCGCAGCTTTCTTCACTTTTGGTTGCTGCTGAGTTGAAAGCACACGCTAAAAGCAGTCACTCACCAGACAACTTGAGAGAAACGAACTGAAGTTCTCTCCAGGAACACATTGTGAATCAGGTGATAGAACACCCACAGAAATTGTGCTTCCCAAATCACCCGTTTCCATCCATCTCAAATGATAGCGGAATAAAGACAAAAAGCAGTTACCG